AAGAGGGAGAAATATCGATTAGATAAAAAAATTTAAAACAAAGAGAAAAATGGAGAAATAATGACTAACTAACTTGAAAATCTACCACAAGGAGTGTCGTCATCGATGCTGATTACTCACAATGGTTGCTTAGTTTGTGTTTTGGTGTTGCTGCTGCTTGGTCGTCAATTCACTGCTGACCTGATTTGTTTAGAATGTTCTCGTTTAGATCATGTGAATGAGGAGAGATACTTTATGGTTACCAATTTGTAAAATAGACTTTAGGCCTTTAATTAGATTGGCTTAAACTATTTTCTAAAAAGCGTATGAGCCTAGTTGGGTTGGAATTTTTTTGGGCTGGGTTTAGGCCTCTAACGTATATTATTTATATATGTTCGTGAACAAAGTTCGAACATGTTCACGAACAAACGAGCTGAGTAAGAGGCTGTTTGAGATTGATTCGTTTATTAATCGAATTTGAAAATTCTGTTTGAGATTAGTTCGTTTATTAAACAAATAAACATCTGAGTCAAGCTCGAGCTGTTTGTCAAACGTTTAATTTATTTATAGCTTGGAGAATGAAGGAAGAAGATAAAACTTCATTTGTTTGGTAGGGAGGAGATAAATGGAGAAATGATAATATGATAAATGAAGAGGGGAGGCAAAACTACCAGTGGGCCTATTATAAAAGTTTAAATTACAATACTATTCTTCAAAAATATTAAATAAATCCCACAAACAAAGTAAGTGATAGATACAATGATAAAAATAATTTAAAAGTCTCTCTTCCCTTCTCTCTCACTGAACAAAGTATATTGTCAATTTTTTTATTTTCTTCCGTCTAACGGATCAAAAATATAAAATGACACAATCAAGAAAGTCTCATCCATCCATTTTTCTTTTATTTTTATCTAATTTTCTTCCCTCCTACCAAACAAAGTATATTGTCAATTTTTTTCTGTTCTTCCACGGATCAAAAATATAAAATGACACAATCAAGAAAGTCTCGTCCATCCATTTTTCTTTTATTTTTATCAAATTTTCTTCCCTCTGACCAAATAAAAAAGAGTACTGCTATCTAGCCCGACAAATAAAAAAAAAACCTACAATTTCACCGAGTCTATGTGGCTACCTATGTATCAAATATAATGGGACCCATTTTAAAATATAAGGTAATTAACTATTTGGAAAGTTGTAGTCCATTTTTAGGTTTCATCTTAATATAATATATTTGTTGGCTATTAAAGTTTTAATCACCATGTATATCAAATTGTATATATGTTGTATACATGTTATATATATATATATATATATATATATATATATATATATATATATATATCACGTTGCATCTAGATGTCTAACGCATAGATACTTAAGATTGCATCCTCTATATATAATTAGATAGGCATTTGTTCATTGATATAATGATCAAAACTAATGATCTATGTGACTCCAGAACTTCATCATAAAAAATATAAAATAAAATAAAAAGGAATTTAAAGAAAAATTTCAAAGTATTGAAAAATTGAAAAATATTGCAGTTTTTGTTCTTGATTTTGTACCAATCAAATTCTTCTATTTGAGTACCATACTGTGAAAACGAAAAAGAGAAAAACTGAATAAATAAAGAAAGAAAAATTAACGTATTTTATGGAAATAAACCGAAATAGTAATGATACTTATTTAAGTTGAAATTTTATAATAACACTGACATATTTTTACCTAAGTCAATTTTAAGTCGGAGTATTAAAGATCGCCAAAAATATCATTTCTCAATAAAAAAAATTAAATTTGAAATCCAACTTGTGCCTGAGTAGGGGACCAAATTTATAGTTACCGATTATGTAACATTTACAAAAAAATAATAGGGTAAAGTATAACAACACCCCCTGAGATTTGCTAAAAGGACACACAAATGAAACTTAGCCCATTTTGGGACAAAGACACCCCCTCGAGTTTGATACAGTTGCCAAAGACACCCCATTAGTAATGAATTGACATTTCTACCCTTTAACTTTTATATTGACCATGAAATGACATTTCTGCCCTCAGAGACCCATTCCAATTTCTTTCTCTCTCCTCTGTTCTCTCTTCCTCCGCCCCAACACCAACACACACACACACACACACACACACACATATAAATATATATGCAGGGGCAAATTCATGAATTGTTAATGGGATGGGCTAAAATTAAACATAAATTTAATAACACAATTTCTTAAGCATTTTTTTTTTAACTTTTATAACATAATCAAGATAAATATTTGAATTCAAATATTACAAAATATCTATCTAAGTTGTGCTCGACGAGTCTTTAAAGACTCGAATCCGTCGATAATAAATTCCCAAGTCAATTTTCCAAACATGGTCCGTTTAAGAATGAGTTAAATTAAAAATACATAAATCAAAAAATATAAAATAAAAATGCCTAAATCAAACAAAATTGTATGTTGTTCATAAAATAAATGACTTAGCTAGCCTGAACAATCATCATTAATAAATAACTGAAGAACTGAATTTTTCAAGAATTAACACAATGAGTAAGATACACCAGATCCTGGAGGCAAATGCCACGGCAAAATCCTTTAAACTCTTGATTTTTTTCAATAACTTGATCATATTCAATGAACTCTTCTGTTCCAAGGTAACGGGGTAAATCACACCATTCATAAGAGTGCATTTTCACATGCCTAGACATAGAAGTCAAAAATTAAAGGCTAAAGTTAGTGAAGTTCACAGCTTAGACAAATCTCAAAACATAGTACACAAATCACAAATCTCATGAAAATTGGAAAATATTTTAAATTATTGTAAAACAAATATTTTAAATTCTGATCATTAAAATTTAATTTTCTTTTTTGGTTGCAAATTTCTGTTCGTCTCTTCTTGTTTTCAATTACCCATGATTGGTGGTTTTTTGGTTTTGAAGATTGAATTATTGCATTTTTTGTTTGTGGTTTTATTTTATAAATCAATAGAAATTCCAACCATGATAGTAATTTTTAACATTCTCCTTTCCTTCTTAGATCGACTTCTCAAGCTTTCTCTTTCTATTAGGTTGCAATTTTGAAAAGTAAACCAAGAATGGAAACAAGTTTAATTCTGTTTGGTAGCTTTGGATTCATTAACAAACATATATAAATTTTGTGCTCTCCTTAAACCCAAACAAGCAGTTATATATATATACATAAATTTCGCTTAATTTCTCAAAAAAAAAAAATTATAAATTTCTGAAAAAAGAAGTCGGTGAAAGAATCTGGGCTTGTTTTTTTATTAGGCTTTTATTTTAGTATTAAGCCATTGGGCTTTTATTTTAATATTGTGGCTTAACTGATTTGGGCTTGTTCGAGTGGGCTATTACTAATAATAATTTTTTTTTGCTTGGACTGGACTAAAATTTGGGGTGGGCTAGAGCCCAGCCCAGCCCTATGCTGGATCCGCCAATGTTGATCCAACTTGGATCGATCGATCTTTTTCATGACCGATCGAACTGCACTGCTTTGCATGTAGTGCTCATATACCCTCATTTGTGTTCATGTTATTACAAGTGTGTTGCGAATTTAAGTGTGGGAGAATGTTAGAGGTGTCTAGGTGTGCCATTCTAATAGGTTGCAAATTGGTCCAATCAGAACAAGAGTGTTGTTAGGGAGTTTTAGCATGTTTGGCGTCAAATTTCTTTAGCAAATCTTTAGTGTACTTTAATGGGGATATAAAGATACCATCAAGAGTTTGTTTGATTAACTTCTTCGTCCGTACTTCGAATCAGGCGATTTCGTTGATTTTTCGTTGTCTATCCACTGTTTTCAAGTACTTCCTAAATTTTTTTCATGAAAATATTTCTTTGTCTTGGATTCCAGAAATACGAATACATATATATACACACACACACACACACACACACATATATATATATGTATGGGGCCTTCATCCTTCGATTCCATCAGTGAGCTTACCTAACGCCGGAGTACACAAGTCATGAGTTGGGCTTAACGGCAGTGGTGGCAATAGTTGTTCGACGAGGGCAACGGTGAGTGCTCTCACTCAGTTGATTCTCTCTGTCATGTCTTGATCTATCCCATGGCGGCGCACAAAATTGGAGCCATCAGTCTGATGAAGCTTCAAACTACAAGACCCGATTCTGTCCAGTGAGCCCCAAATCTGGTGAAACCTAGTTCAGATCGACAAACCCTAAGCACGAACAGTTCCCGCAACCCAGAAGAAGAGAATGAGGTTTCAACAGATTGAGAGGGATCGCAGAGAACTGGGTGGTTGTGCCGCCTTACGTAATCGAAGGGTATGCTGAGAAGGGTACACAGATCTGACTTTACTTTCTGGATGATTGAGAGGAACTCTTTCCGTCTGTGGTTCATTTCCATCACGCTCATTCTGGTTCCACGCCAATTTTAGAGCTCGAATTTGGCCATCTTGGGCACGTTTTCATGTAGAGTGGCTGAACCAGTGGCAAAATTGAAGACCTGATTTTGGGATTGGGAGGTGGAGGTTGGGCGATCTTAGACTTGGGTTGTTGAACAGGTGATCGATATGGGTTTGTTAAGGCACGAAGATAGGTTGAGGGGGAAGCCATTGAAATGGGTGGTGGTGACTGCGTTGGGGATTTTGAGAAGGTGACGGTTAGGGTTTTTCAGGAGGAGAGGATGAGGTGAAGTTGCCATGGTATTTTTAAAGTTGCTGACATTGCCATGGTGATAGACCAAAAGCTTGATCATTCCCTTCCATTGGACAGCTTGAAGGCCGAGGCGGTGGATTGGGGGTAGGGGTGGGGGTGATTATGTGTCGGTGGTTGTGGAGTTTTGGTGTGGTGGCTGCAGAATCCGGTTGTAGGATTGAGTGAGTGTTGAGGGTAATTTGATTATTTAATTATTTTAATATCTTATAATTAAAATTAATAAAATAGTAAAAGGTAATGTTAACGTTTTACATATTTTAAGGCTATGTTTGACTTACAAATACTATCAGAGTGTCATTATCTCAAAACAGAGCAGTTTCGTCGTTGTCCTTTCGGCAACCCTCGGGTGTTGGTGTGTATGACCCAAAATAACAATAATAAAAAAAATTACATCCTATTCTACCACTTCCTGGAGCAGCCGCCTCCCCTCCCCCACTCCGCAACTGACGGTCTCGGATCTCCTGTACAATCTCTGATCTTCGATCACTCCTTCCTATCAACCACTTAGGCCACGCCAGGTATGGTTTGATCAGATCCTGTGTCCCCCACTCTCTCTCTCTGTATATATATATATGTATGTGTGTGTATATATATATAATATGCATATTTACATATATAGTGTTCTTCATGTGCACCTACTTTGCGCTGGGCTCCTTCAAACCTTTTCCCGGCCTCATTCTCTCTGTTTTGGTTGGATAAATGCTGTCTGTACTGTGCCTCTCCTCAGTCCTCTCTTCTCACCAAGCCATAGTTGCCTCTCCTCTGTGTGTCACAGAGTAAGGTCTCTCACTCTATATTGAATATCTAATTTCCAGGTTTGGTTTTTCAATTGTGTAAATACTAATTAGTGCATCAGTTAGATACACTTCTGATTCTTACTTGCTTCCTGCTTGCAAAACGAGTGGAGAAGATTGCTGCAACTATTAGATACACTTCTTTGCCTGCAAATTCCAAACTGGGTTTTTTATTTGCTGAAAAATCCTTCTATTCTGCATGATTTCCAATATTATTGAAAAAAAAAAAAAACTTCCTCCTGCTTGCAGAATAAGTGGGGAAGATAGTTGCATCAATTAGATACACTTATTTGCTTCCAATTTCCAAACTTGTTTTTTTATTTGCTGAAAATTACTTCTATTCTGTATGATTCCCAATATTATTGGGAAAAAAAAAAATTCCTCCTGCTTGCAGAACAAGTGGAGAAGGTAGCTGCATCAATTAGATATACTTCTTTGCCTCCAAATTCCAAACTGGGTTTTTGATTTGCTGAAAATTACTTCTATTCTTTTAGTTGGATATGTTGCAAATTGTATTTTTGACCCTTTTTTATTTTTATTTTGTGTTTGCAGGTCTTGTTTTTGTTAGTCCTTGAGCTTATCTCTTGGTAGTTCGTGATGATTGTTCATGAGGGCTTCATTTTCAGTCATCAATGTTGTCTCTGCTGGATTGAAACGGATAGTTGGGCGGAGGAGGACATCTAGATTTTTCTCATCTGAAAATTTATCACTAGCTTCCTCATCTTTCTCGGAGAATGAAGGCTTTATCTTTGAAGGTTCAAACTCTATAAATGATCCTTTGCCAAATGTCAAATGCATTTCAACCAAAAGTAGAGAACATAATGAGCTGTCTTTTAATCTGAATGATATCTCTAATTCTGTTGACAATGATACCTTTATTTGTGAATACCAGAAAGCAGATGATGACGAGTTGAAAAGAATAAAGTTAATACTTACAAACCGTGGTTGGAATTTAAGCACTCAACATGGCTATAGAATTGATTTGAATGAGCACAACATTATGCGCATTTTGAATGATCTCTTTGAGGAAAGTTCAGACGCAGCACTTGCTCTATACTTCTTCTGGTGGTCGGAATGTTGTGCTGGATCAAAGCACACAATCGGATCAATATGTAGGATGATACATATTTTGGTTGCTGGGAATATGAATTATAGAGCTATGGATCTAATTCTATGTCTTGTAAGAAAGAATGATGGAGAAGATTGTTGGCATAATTTGTTGCTTACAATCCTTCGTGAAACCCATACCGAAGGAAGGGTTTTGGAGACTGCATGCAGCATGCTTGTTGATTGTTATGTTAAGGAAAACATGGCGAATGATGCTCTTCAATTGATATGTCAGATGAAGCATTTTAATTTATTTCCTTCAATAGGGGTTTGTAATACACTTGTCAGGGCATTATTAAAATCAGATAAGTTGGATTTGGCTTGGGATTTTGTGGAACAAATGCAGAGACAAGGGATGGGTTTCAATTCTTCTATTATTAGCTTATTTATCTACAAATACTGCAGTGAAGGTAATCTTGAAACTGGTTTGAAATTGCTGATGGAAATGAAAAAATACGGGGCTAATCCTGACATTGTTGCATACACTATAGTGATTAATTCCCTTTGCAAAATGTCCCTATTAAAAGAAGCCACTTCTGTATTGTTTAAATTGACTCAGATGGGTATCTACCCTGATTCAGTTTCTCTTAGTGCAGTTATTGATGGTTTTTGCAAAATGGGAAAACCAGAGAAAGCAGTTGATATTTTAAAGATTTTTAGAGTTTCTCCCAATATTTATGTGTACAACAGCTTTATTTCAAAGTTATGCATAGATGGCGACATGATGGCAGCGTGCAATATTTTTAATGAGATGTCAGATTTGGGCTTGGTTCCTGATATTTATAGTTACACTAGTATAATTGGAGGATATTGCAAAGTTGGGGAAATAAATGAGGCTCTTTCTTTTATGGGAAAAATGTTGAAGAGGGGAATCAAACCATCTGTTACTACATACACGGTGCTAGTTGACGGTTATTGCAAATCTGGTGACATGGACAATGCAGAATATTGGTTTCAGAAAATGATAACAGATGGTTTGGTACCTGATGTTGTTGCATACAACACATTAGTGGATGGCTATGGAAAGAAGGGTCACTTGCATAAGGTTTTTGAACTTCTAGACATGATGAGATCTGCTGGAGTTTCTCCTGACATTGTGACATATAACACTGTAATTCACAGCCTCGCTGTACGAGGATTTGTAAATGAGGCAAAAGGTCTCTATGATGAGCTCATTAGTAGGGGTTGTTCTCCTGATGTAGTAACATTTACCAGTATTATCAGCGGGCTTTCAAAGAAGGGTAACTTTGAAGAAGCATTCCTTGTGTGGTTACACATGAGTGAGCACCATATGAAACCTGATGTTGTGATGTGCAGTGCTTTACTTAATGGGTACTGTAGGGCACGTTGTATGGAGAAAGCCAATGCACTGTTCTGTAAGATGATTGATATTGGTTTGATTCCAGATTTGATTTTGTACAACACACTCATACATGGATTTTGTAGTGTTGGAAACATTGAAGATGCATGCCAGCTGGTAAACATGATGGTGGAACATGGTACCATTCCAAATGAAGTCACTCATCAGGCACTCACCCTTGGATTTGAGAAAAAATGGGCCAAAAATCCTGAAGAAGCTGCAGCTTTTAAGCTGCAACAAATACTGCTGAAATATGGTGTACAGGTCGACATTGATCAATATTTGACCATAACAAAGCACTCCAGTAGGAAGTCCGCAGGAACATGAGTGGTAAGAACTAAGAGGTTTATCTTTTACGCCCTTTGTCACCAGACTTTGTTTATCTTATTAAATGTTGATATTGCGTTATGCACAGCATACCATATTGAGTTAGGTCATAGATAATGTACCACATCAATTGAATATGCTTATTCATTCTATATCTTTTTTTCTTTTTTCTTTTTTTTTTTTTCAGGTTGTTTTGTGGTTTGTACGTCAGGGTTGCTGCATGGAGCCCATAGCTCTATTAAGTGACATCTGTGCTATGGAATTTGTGGTGAAGCTGTAAACTAACTCTTTTCTACTTATCAGGTAAAGAACCCCTTGAGATAGGTTTGGAGTGGCTGAGCTCAGACTTGGTAATATTTCATACTCCACGTTCCAGTTTTTATTCAACCCACAGGTTGTTACTGCTGACACACAGTGGTGTATGTGCACTTTCATTGTTTTCCTTGAATATGATTTCAATATGCTGTTTCCATGTGATCTTATGAAATAATACCGTGAACTATGCTATCTATATGAAGTTCTTTATGAAAATTAGCGACCTCTTGTGTTCAGATGCTAGATTATACTAGTTATTATTATTATTATTTTTTTTAACAAAATTTCTGATCCACCTTTTATTCTAAATGTTAGTTGTTGTCCCACACTAGTGGGTTTGTCATGAGCCTTGACTATACAGTGCATCTTTTGCCAAGTAGCATTTTTAGGCTTTGGCACATGGAGGAGCACTTTGGGAGATGTTAGTACGAGGTTGAATTGGAGTCCCTAAAGAGTTTAATAGAGTAACAAGGTTCATGTAGCTAACTCTAAAAGGTTAAGACAAGGCTTTGTAGGGTTGACTTGAATTGAGTTGGTTGATAGAACAAATTATGTGTCTTTCTATTTATTTGTTTATTATTATTATTATTATAATGATGGAATATCTTTGTTTTGCACAGCTGTTGTTCATTAATGCTTTTGGGGGGGCCACGAAATGTCGTGCTGTACACTCTTGCAAGAAGCACCCTAATTGGTTGCCAGCTCCAAGTATGTAAAATTGTATATCCTAAAAATATCCTTGTGATAGCATCAGATCTTATTGACCAAAGTGCCATTTCTGCCCTTGAGCCTAGCTCTATTTTTGGAGGTCATGGCTATATATTTCAATTTTTAAAATTTATTTCTGGCTGGGGGCCAATTCTTTTCAGCCATTAGTTTCTATTGAGCTTGTGCTGGCATTAGTTTATGTTTGGCTTTTGCACGTGACTTGATGCATCAACCATCTTACTTGTGAAGCAGGTGATAGTAAGGACTGGAACCTGAGGTTATGATGGAGATTCGCGTAACTAAATTACCAGAATTTTATATTCAATTCATTAGCAAAAGTGTAAAAATTATTCAATCCGTAGTGATAATAAATAAATAAAGTAGTAAAGCAATGGATACAAAGATTCTTATGTGGAAACCCCAAGGGGAAAAATCACAGGACATAGTCTGGGCAAACAAAATCTCATAATGGAAGCTTACAGCCTATGTTAACAAGTCCCAAAACTCTAGAATCCCTTAGTTACCTCCCTGACACAAATGACGCCAAACGTTTCTTCAAAAGTCTCTAGGCTGTCCGCCCACTCGTCAACAAATTTCGCTCCTCATGAATCAGCTTCTCCACCAATGAATTGATCTCAACCACTAGTCGTCCAAGTTCAATCTCTGAAGATGGATTTAAGGATGTGTTGAACTCTCCGATCAAGTATTCAGCAGAAGGTGTTAACTCAGAGAATCACACTCAATAATACTACAAATGATGAATGTGACAACCCGGATTTTTAAGATTTTAATTTATATCTGTTTCATTTTTGTTGTTGTCATAATTAATTATTTAATTATGATTGGAGATTTACCCAATTGAGATATTTAATGGATTTGGTTTTATTTTGTTGCATATATATACGATATATATATATATATATATGTTGCATCTGATGGAAGGTGATAAGAAGGATAGGAAGTAGCGAATTAGAGAGAAGAAGTTTGATTTGGTTTTGTTATATATATATATATATATATATATGATGCATCTGATGGAAAAGGGAGCAGGCAGTCGAATTGGGAGGAGAAAAGGAGATTGTGATGATGTTTTGGCGGGTCCCACTAGGAGATGTTTTTGTGGGTTTGATTTAGTTTTGTTACATTTATATATATATATATATATATATATGCAATGTCAGATGGAGATAAAAAGGTGTGGCTGCCGAATTAGAGAGAAGGAAGAAAAATTTGAAATTGTGATTAGCGGGTCCCACTAGATAGTTAATGGGTTTTGTTGAAGGATTTAAATATTAAAGTTACACCTCTCTAATAGTTTAAACTTTTAGAGTAGATGGTAGTTAACATGGTATCAGAGGCAAAGGTCTCGAGTTCAAACCTCACCTTTACTCTAATTAAAAATTGAAAAAAAAAAAAAAAAAAAAAAACACATGTTAGACCAAAAGAAGGCCACATGTGAGGGGGCGTGTTGAAGGATTTAAATATTAAAGTTACATCTCTTTAACAACTTAAGCTTTAAGAGTAGATGGTAGTTAACAGGTTTGATATATGGTCATAAAGTGTGAGCATATGTATGATACCATTCTGTAACGACCTGAAAATTTTAATAAAATTCCTCAATCTCATTAAATCTCAAATACTTCAATACACTCCCAGGATCATAAAAAAAATACCCTTTGTTGATGCAACAATCAATTTTCTTAAATAAACACAAAATCTCTAAATAAATTAAATTAATCCGCAACGCCAACTCTTCCACCTAAGCATGAAACTAGCTATCCAAGTTCATCCTCAGTACTTGAAACTAAAAGGGGGTGAGATAGGGAAGTCCCAGTAGGAAAAACCATAACAAGAATTTTAAGGAGGTTTCATGAAAATTAGCTTCACAAAATATAGATATGATTTTGAACAAAAATACATATATGCAATTTTAACAAAGTAACAGTCAAAATATTTGAGATAAAATCACTCCTAAACAATTCAAGGTATAAAGAACCCTACTCTGAAAAAGAAATATAAATCATCACTGGATCATAAATTCCAAACTCTCTCTGTCCTTCTCGGCTATCACTGTGTGTTTCCTCAATTTCTCTCTTTCTGTATCTTTACCAAGGTCACAAAGCACCAAATATATAGGCAATTCCACCGACATCATATCAACAAACAAATATCAATTCAATTACTTAAAACAATAAATCATTAGTGGACCCCGCCACTACCTCCTTTTCCTTATCATTACCTTATCTTTTCATTCATTTATCGTTTTATCCTTCTCTCTCTAATTTCGCACCTGCTCTCTTTCCTTCTTATCTCTCCATCAGACCAAATATATATATATATACATATATCATATATATGCACACACTTTGTGACCATAAATCAAACCCATTAAATATCTAGTGGGACCCGCTAATCACAATTTCAATCTTTTCTTCTTCTCTCTAATTCGGCACGCACACCTTTTTATCTCCATCTAACATTGCATATATATATATATATAAATGTAACAAAACTAAATCAAATCCACTAAAACATCTCCTAGTGGGACTCGCCAAAACATTATCACAATCTCCTTTTTTACCCCCAATTCAGCTGCCTGTTCCCTTTTCCATCAGATGCAATATATATATATATATATATATATATATATATATATATATATATATATATATATATATATATATGCAACAAAATAAAACCAAACCCATTAAATATCTCAATTGGGTAAATCTCCAATTATAATTAAATAATTAATTATGACAAAAAAAAAAAAAAAAAAAAAAAAAAGGGAACATATATAAATTAAAATCATAAAAATCCGGATTGTCACAATGAATGTGTGAGAAACTTCATATTTAGTTGGTAATTGATTGAGTTGTAATTTTTGTTTTATTTTTTGTCTTGATCGTCCAACAACTCCAACCTGAACAACAAGTTCAATGATATCATTGATTCGATAAGAACATCCTTTAGAACTGGTGTGAGAGTGAGGACACTAAGCACACCTAGTTGGGTTGAAATAGGTCTTCCAAAAATAGTGTTTTAAAGTTCTTTGTTTTTTTTTTCAGGAAGTCCAACCAGATGGAAAATTTTCAATTGGTTCAAGTACTCTTGGGTCCTTATCATGCATAGTCTGACCAGTTGGAAATTTTCAACCGGTTGGGGTGTATTGGGATTCATGATATCTTTTAAAAATTCAACTGGTTGGACTTCTTTCCAACCAGTTGAAGAGCTCTCGGTAGTTGTGCTTTTTTACTACCTGCAGATTTCAACCAGTTGGAATATTTTCAACCTGTCCAATATGTTCTGACACGTTTGGAACTTTGTTTTTGGATAGAATTTTAATTCCTTTTCCAACTAAACTACTAGGAACATCCAATAGAATTTTTATAACATTTTTCCTACTTTTATTTGGATATTATCCAATAGCACACACTTATACACAAGAGTGATATTAGGGTGACGTTCTTTATTAGTGATTTTAGAGCACACACTTATACACGAGAGTGGATAATTTTTTCCCAGTTAGAACAGCAGAAATTTGTTTTCCCTTTTATCTTCGCGATCGCAAGGAAGGTGGATCAATCACTACAAAGGGGGTAGAGTGTTTGCGGAGCGTTCATGTTCTTCCAGCAACCCGTCAATAACTGGGCGAGCAGGAGGAGTTTGGGATGTTCAACAACTAGTTGTTGACAGAGTAGAGTGGATGTGAGACAGAGACTCAGAGAATGTGTAACACTGCTTCGAGATAGTGTATTGATTTGCCAGAGACGGCTAGTCTCTGTGGTTTTTTCCTCGTTGAGGTTTTTCTACGTAAAAGATCATGGCGTCATCTCTAACTTTATTTACTTTCCTAAATCATATTTATTGCTTTATGTGATTTATTTAGGTTTAATTTGGTAAAATTAAAATAATCTAAAAATCAATCAAAAGAGCAAGCTAGATTTATTCCCCCCCCCCCCCCCCCCCCCCCCCCCCCTCCCCCTCTAGGTCTTTCATTAGAGATCAAACTTTCCACAACCACTTCTACACTGCACAACTCACAGAATGCAAGAACAAAAATATTGAGGCACTTTAGAAATCACAATTCTGCTCTCTATGTGTATTACTAGATGTATTCTCAGTGTATTATATTCTGCCCTAAGATGATATGTGTATATATATATATATATGCAAAATAGAAGTATAGAGAGAACAGAGTTTGTAGAGTTTGAAACTAATTTGGAAACTGCTTTTCCACAATGCTCGATCGAATGACAATACTCTAGTGGGCCTCAATCGAAGCCTTGATTGATTGAAGTCAACTGCAGTTTTAAAACTTGGAAGATTAAAAAAACAATGAGTTTGTAGAAACTCTTTAATGCATGTTTTGAACCAATTTAGGGAATCAAACAAGATCAAATCATGTAGAAATAAAAATAAAAATAAAAAAACCTAATTATACATGCATGATCCCTAATTTTAATGAGTGCATCAATATGTTAAATTACCTTTTTATGCTTGTAGAAAAAGCCTATGCATATGTCCTTGAATATAGCTCAAATTTCCTTCCTTGACCTTGAGTAGGAGGTAATTAACTAACTTTCGAAAATTTCTAATCTAAACTAGAGATTAGAACAAAAGTTACAAACTCAGTTTTGTTTTAAAAAATTTGCCAACTTGAATCCTATTGTCCTAATACATAGGTCAAAAGTTAAATTATGTAGCTTTGCTGCTGAACTTATTTTAATATTCAACTTTTTAGTGGCACAAGTCCACTCTACATCACTTAGGAACTAGCTTTTGTAGGCAATGGGTGGCATTTCTTGTTAAAAACTAAGGGCCTATTTGGTTCAGTTTTATGGAAACATTTTTTAAAAAAACTCAGAAAACAAAAAACTATGGTTACTTTTCAGAGATTTTTGTTACTGTTCAGAGTTACAAACCAAGCAAACCCTACGTTTTTTTAACTGAATTTTCATGAAACAGTTTTCAAAAAACTGACAACCAAACAAGTTTCCTTTCTGAACAGTTTTCTGAAAATGAAAATTGCTCTCTGAAAACTGAACCATGCAAACCCTAATATTTTCTATTGTTACTCTATTCAGTGAATGCAAATTTCTTATAGTTGGTCGCTTCTTACACCCGATAGGCCATGTGTTACTGATTTGTTCCCCTTTTCTCGATGTGGATTTTAATATTGTACTGTTACAATATGTGGCCGAAACCTCCTCTTGTGGGAGATGGAGGAAGCACCACCTAGACTGGCTCTTGGTGGTTAATTGTTCTAATAAGAGATTTGCATTATAAATATAATTGTTGATTCAGTTTTCAGCGCTTGGGTTAAACCCAGTATTGGTGTTTTTTAAACCTTCAGTAGGTCATCACTCATCAGTACATGGTCTTAAGGCTCAAAGAACATTACATGAATCCAGAACCTTCACTATTGCTGCTGTATTCTGGCATCAATGGTATTATTAGGTATAGGGCAATGCTTTATGATGGTCCCAGGCAAAGTAATCTAGTTTCGGAAAAGGGCTTTTGATTCAACTTAGATTATTTGGGATTTTAATAAGAACTCTAATTTAGGGATGGTGGACATTGAGTGGGACAGGAAGGATTGGGAAAACCATGTTTAGCATAGGACTGGGGGTGCGTCCCTGTGTTTTTATCCTTTGTTTTGATAGTGTCCCAAGTTTCTCTCTCATTTTTTTTTTTTTTTTCTAATATATATATATATTGTGGTGTTTAAACATGTGCAAGGTAAATACTTTTTTCCAGCCTAGTATTCATGTGGGGATTGTGCAACTGTAGAAACAAGCATTAGCTAGGTTGTTGAAAACCAACATTTAATGGAAAATTGACTATTTATTCTTCTCTTTTTCTGGATGGTGCAAGGCAAATGGGTACTTGTCAAGGGTGGAACCAACGCATGAATTTGTACCTACCAGCCCAAACATAATTGGCTTTCCTGCAACACAGTTAGTCTTAAATTATGAAGTTGGCTGAGACACCCGGGCTTCATCAGGGAATGCTAATTGGTAATTCTCTCTCCCTCTCCTCTCCCAATGTATGTGTACATATTCACATGCATTCCCATGTTTTAGCATATGTGGTCCTAAAAAACTCACCTTGAAAGAAATGCCATCAATTTGTTTTTTTGGTATCTGTTGCTCTTGAAGTAATTCCTAGATTTCAGCTCATGCCTCTCTCTCTCTCTCTTTCTTTATTAGATTTTTTTCTCTCTTTCACTTCTTCATGGACTTCCTCAATCTCTTCTCCTGTCATTTGATTTTATGATCAGATGCATGATTGGACAGATAACCAGCAAAAAAAAAAAAAATGAGAGAGAGAGAGAGTAAAAAAGTAATAAAAAATTAAATAAAAGAAAAAAGGGCAACACTATAAACATGGCCCTCTTTTTTGAATCTCTCATCTTGGTGAAGGAAAAAAAAAAATAGTACTGCTACTTGTCCCCAAAACAGATTGTGGACTTGTCTGATGGATGGTCAAATGTCTCTCTGTACCTGTCTTCATGGCTTTCCTTTTCTCTCTTTATTATTGGATACTAAGTTGAGTTCTGTTTTAACTGGGTTGTTTTGTATCTCCATTCACTCTTGTGATGTTGAGGCTTTACATGAGTATTTTACCATTTTCCATTTTTTTCTTCAATATGCATAATCTCCATTATAATTTATTTGAGTGTTACTATGATGTGTTTTCACCTGTTGACTTGCCCTTTTTGTGTTCATTACCAGTTACTGGATTAAAGCAGCAAAAAGATGAGAACTGTTGTCTAGGCTAAAAAGTCAGGGTACCTGAAGATCTCTCCAGCAATATGTGCTCATGGTAAGCTTTGTTTTCTCCTCTGTCCATTCTCTCCATTACTCACTGCTGTCTCTTGTTCCCACTTCTTTCATGTGAATCATCTGCCTTTTGCTTTCTAAGAATTGCTGTTGCCTTCTATTAGTTGTGCAATTGGAATCAATTGTTAAGTAACCATAAGTGGTGTCAGCCCATATTACATTGATTGTGCGTATAACAAACAGCGTATTTTATTGACTTAATGACAGGCCATGGGGGACCTGAGTGACGGAATGCTTCAGAAAAAGATAGCATGAAAAATATCTTGGAGATCGAGCTACTTGGTAATCCCTTGCCTTCAGTAGATTGTTTATTTATTTATTTTTTTTGTTGTTTCCTCTCTTTACAGTGCATTCCAATATTTTCTTATCTGACAGAGTTGGAGATTTACATTTCATATTCTCTCGTTTAATCCATGACAAAAAGTTGATCCATGATATTGTCTTTCCTTTTTTAATCCTTTAACAATATTGGTTTCTTTTTTTCAAAAAAAAAAAAAAAAAAAAAATTTATTACTTAATATTCATAAATGCCTACTACCCAAGAACTTGTTGTCATATATTCATTAGAACATTTGTTGGTATGTGCTTCTGATTCATATTGTTTGATGTTCAAATTAGTTCACTCAACCTGTGAATTGAATTCTGATTAGATTCGAAACAATATTGGTGTGACGACGCTGGATTTTACAAACCCAATGTGTCCTGTGATAACCCGAAATGAATCCAAAATGCGGAAACTAAACAAAAACATGGTCTCTAGAGATGTACATCATCCCTAAGACACAAAAGTGGCTTCATGAGGAGTTCCGAGGCTCAACGGAAGCAAGAGGGAAACAAGGGTTTCAAAACCCTACAAGAAATGGACCAAGGGTCATTTTACCCAGAAATGGGTACTACTACCGAGCACACTATTGGAAAGATAACAAAAAATTAATAAACTTAGACTTAAAAATCACTTGATTCGGAGTCCGGACGAAGAAGATATGGCTAACGGAAGAAAAAAGAGTAAAAATGTCAAAAAGAGTCAACCCAAGACCATCTAACCGGTTAGGAGGCAAAACAGAGTGACCATAATACTGCCACAAGTCATCTAACCGGTTACGAGATTGAGCCCACTCGTACACTTGTACTACAGGTCAGCAAAAAGCTGACAGTAGGGGTTTTTCGGGAAAAAATGGATTTTCGAGAGCCAAGATGAGGTGTTTTGGAAAAACACAAAGAAACCCCTCCCCCCCGACCACAAATCACGTTTTCTAAGTGGCCATGTCAAGCCCAAAATTTATTTCCTGAAGGAAAACCCCAAAATGCCCTTAACCAGATTATGCAATAAAAATGGGAAATGATTTTTCTTGAACACGATCATGCACGCAAATATAACTTACCTATTTGGACGTACTACAATGATCCACGACTTAAAAATACCGCCAATGCAAAATCCGACCCCCCAACGGCCAAAAAGGCAAAAATGTATATGAAATGAAAATTTTGAAATTCAAAATTATGAAATGGCTTCAAATTACCGTTCGGCCCTTGGCCACACTTCATATATGATTAATGAGACCCTATGGAAGAATAAAAATTGAATTCCCACACCCGATGCAAGCATGGTGAAACAATGACTTGTCATTTTTCAATATTTTCATAATATTTCATGAAGTCAAAAATTACATAGGATACAAAATAATTGTCATTGGCCTCCGATCTCGTCTCATACATATCAAATAAGCATCGACGAGTGTACTTAGATACACATTACATGTTTAGAATCGAATATACACATTTTGACATATAAGGTTACAAGTGGCATTTCAAGCCAACCTTTACAAGAATTAAAACCTTCAAGTCAACAAATCATCCAAGCATAATGAGAATCTCAAACCTTGATTCTTGTACCTGAAAAATGTCTCCGGTAACTTTAGGGTGAGTAACATAAAGCTACTCGTAGGAGATGAGCATGCATCGACCTAACTTTTTACAAGGTTTTCACATTCACATGAAACAATGCAAGGGAGTCATGCCACCTAATGTCTATGTTAAAAGTGGGACTAAGGGATCATCTCAAATTACTCATGTAATTGAAATGTACGAAGAATACAAGTATACATGCTCAGGTATACTAATCAAGGTTAAAACATGATATACAATATATAAACATACATTTCCAAGTATACTAAACTATATTAAGACAAGTCATGCAATGTCTAAGCATATTTGCACAAGTATACATTAAATGTGGAAATCTCATAAATTAAGTACACAACACAAGTATACTAAGCTAATAGGATTGCGCATAAGACAAGTATATACGGCACAAGTATACTAAATGTAATTTAAACTCACGGAGCAAGTATACAAGTTCAAGTATACTAAATAGGATTCAAATACCCAAAGCAAGCATCAATTCTCAAGCTGCAAATAATCCATGATTAACAACTTGAAAATAAATGCGAAATCGAATAATTAAAAAACTAGGACATGCGGTCGCTAGACCAAGCAAGTATTTTCAGGTAATTACAACCCACAAGGTACACCTAGTACGCACTTATGACTTAGAAGACTCTTATCTCCGTACTAGAGCCAAACCCTAACCATCACATAATTTATGTCCTCATAAGCTTTCCAAAATTAGTAAGTTCGAAACTCATACAAAATCAAATGCAAGTTACCACATTCCATGCACAAGTAAGGTTGAATACACACAATTCATGTCCTAGAATTCAAGTCTAAATAGCATATGACATGTCATGTCCTCAATATGTAATTTATTCATAAAGTTAGAATATTTTGCAACAATTGAGCAACATTACCATCCTAAGCGACAAATACTAAATAAGCTTCAATTTAATAATTAGCTTTCAAGGTAAACAATTGTAATATTCTAACAAGTTATATACCTACACAAGATATATTTAAACAAGTTATGCAAGTCAATGAATTCTATATCATGCTAAGTCCAATTACCATTTCAAGAGGCCACAAGTACTAATTCTATATCTAATTAGTAATTTGCTCACAAGGTAATTAATTTCACTACATTTCAAGGGATTTTCAACTTAACATGAAAAGTCTCTAGATTTCAAATCAATCACAAATAGACTCAAATTAATATATGTTAAAGGACATAACATGGTCTTCACATATATTATACCTAAAATCCATTTAAGTGACTACAACACTTAAAATAAAATTAATCAATCAATTTAATTAATTTTCTCTAGATTTTCAAACAATTCCAAATGTCTTCAATTTAACATAGGTTAAAGAACATACCAAAGCCTACTTTAATATCACATTACAAGTTGATTTCATACTTGTTACAACTATGTGAATTAATATTTCATAAAAGATACATATTAAATAAAAGTTGCAATTCTTATTCAAATGCTCCCAATTTAATATATGTTGATAAACATACCAAGGCCTAATTTACTATCATGCTACAATTAAATTATAAGTTGCACACAACCATATGAATTAAATCTTAAACACAGAAATTAATTAAATTAAATTCTAAAACTTGAATAAAGACATGCTCACAAGTTATATATGCTTCTAAAACAATCAATATAACTCAAATATAAACCTACGACATCCCCTACCTCAATTTGAGATGAAAATCTCAAATCCCCACCGAAAAGAAACCGCTTTGAATCCTATGAAACTTCGGGTTTTGTCGGGGACAACAAGGTGATCATTAAATACCAAGGAAGTCCTACCAAAATCTTAACTTGGCTTCAAACCCGAACCCAAAAAATGGGCAAAACGGGATTCCAATCGGTTGGAATCGAAGGCCTCGTCAAGGCGAACAATAAACGCAAAGGCATTACCACTTTTTACTAAAGGGAGGAGGCTCAAAGGAGGAGAGAGAAGGTGGCAGCCCTTGGCTGCCATGGAATCCTGCTAAAAGAGGGGAGAGAGAAAAATATCTCATTTTTCATTTTAGAGACCCCTATTTATTGAAAAACCCTAAAAGTGCCCCGAACGGGTCCCGCCGGGTCCAGAAAAATGGAATTTGAACAGACGCGCTCAAACGACAAAACTCCGTGAATGAAAAAGAACCAAAATGAAAAAAAAAAATGATCAACAGAAGAAACGGCGTCGAAAACCGAGTCCCGAGCAGAGAGATATGCCCTAAACAAGTTTAGCGCTAACTAGAGCCGAAAACCCGAAAACTATAAGGTTCGACCACAAAACAATTCTAAGAGTACACGACTCAACGAAATGTGAAAATGAATCCCGTACAAGGATTCAAGCCCCAAGGAGACACTTAGCAATTAACTTTCATTAATTACACAAAGGCCCCTACACAAAAGGATAACTGCGCAAGTGACCCCAAATGAAAATATCATCCAAAAGATATTTTCTTAGAAACCCCTAAATCAAAATATCTTCAAAAGATATTTATGAAAAACACCCCAAGAAACAAAAATGTTTCTGAAGACCCCTACGGACACCGGGAGCAACCAGAGTACTTTCCTACAAAAGTAAAGATACGTATTTCGTAGAAACCACTAAGGATGAAGGTAAATGAAGTTAAAAACCAACTCCGAACACGAAAAATGAGGTTGTGTCAACAAAGTGACAAATAGGGAAAAAAATGAAAAGTGAATAGTGTCGAAAAACGAAAAATGTGGAAATGATGCAATCCTTTAAGGAAGTTGTCAATTCAAGAGAAAGAGTCTCAGAAACCATTTTCGAACACTCGAGACGACACTAAGTGATGAGAAACCGAACTTAGAAAAGAAAATCCAACGAAAAAAAAAAAAAAATTATCCGCAAAAATGTGAGGAAAAAGGAAAGGAAGGAAATGACCGGGTCATTACAATTGGTTTCCTTTTTCTTTCTTTTTTTTAAAAAAATTATTACTTAATATTCGTAAATTTCTGACCACATGCAGAATCAAGAATGCCTACTGCCCAAGAACTTTCTGTCATGTATTCGTTAGACTATTTGTTGGTATGTGTTTCTAATTCATATTGTTTGATGTTCATATTAGTTCACTCAACATGTGAATTGAATTCTGATTAAATTCGAAACCAATTTTAATTTGTTTACAGGATATGAGACATTTTGTTAGTATAATTGATCCGCTCATTATTTAATAATGGTTGTGGAACAACCAGGCACAAACCCATGAAGAAAAATCACTTAAAGCAATTAGGAATACAACTTCCATGGAAAGAAATAGGATGATTGGTCTTTATTTTATAATAACATGTTTAAATCTCTTATTATATTTGTTTTCTGTTTATTTTTTATTTTTTTTTAATTTTTCTGAAGGTTTTCTTTTCTGCTACTCATATCTATGACACAAACTGTTTTTGTTCTATGTGCTTGTGGGTGGGAGTGGGAGGTTGGGGGCTATACTAGTTATTTAGTTTATTTTAATGCTTTTTATTTAGTTGTTTTAGCAATGCAAACCCACCTGTTACCGCTCTGAATTTACTTGAGAAAAAAGAAAGTTCACATTAGAGGATTTTCAAGTTATATTACAAATAGCTAAGCCACACGCATTTATAAAGAAAAAGAAAAAAGAAAAAGTCACATAAGTATTGTTTCTGGCTATATTTTGAATCTGGATTTGGAGAATAATATTTAAGATTATGAATTTTTTCAGGCCCTAATTTTTTCTACATCTTTGTTTGAGAATGTCCATACAATGACTAAGGATGGAACATCATCTTTAAAGCAAGACTATTAATGCGACAAACTAAAAAGTATGGAGTTGCGTAACATCAAGTTATGGTGTGTTAAGGCACAAAAGGTATGCGATAACGAGTTATATGCAGTGGCTCCATGTAATGATTTCTGTATGATCTAATGGAACATATGAATGGGTTGGGAGGTTTGATTATATATAGAGAAGGTAATAGAAACTCCCATATATCTGTACTTATGCAAGGTTATCAAATTAGGGTCTGTTTGGTAACCATTTATGTTTATTGTTTATTTAAACAAATTTAAAAGAAAAACATGCCCGTTAATTATTTTGTTTATAAAAACCCTAAACACCTTTAAACAATTATTGTAGCCAAAGGCCAATTTTCTAAACGCCAAAAAGGCGTTTATGTTTGGGAAATTACTGTAGCAGATGCGGGAGAGGTTTTACTGTAGTAAAAATACACTGTTAGCAACCTTTTTTGTTCTTCTCTGCCGAACGACAGCCACAATCTTCTTCACAAACCCTAAGTCCATCCTCTCTCTCTACCAGCGAGCTATTCCTGCAGATCTGTCGATCTCCTCCACAGTCCATGATGAGCTCCTCCACCAGCCAAGAAAAGCTACTTCGCCACACTCTCCTCCAGTGTGAAATTCTCTACATTTATTTTCTCTCACTTTCTTGCTTCTCACACCTCTTTGCACTGAGATTGTAGATCTGTGCATGTTCTTCTTCAAGTTATTCCTCTATTTCTCTCTCTAATTTCTTCGCCTCTATTCATCTTGCAGTTAATTCTTCTTCTTTTTTGATCTGCAGCTAGTTCCTCTTCTTAAGCTCACTTCATTAATGTTGTTGATTTTTTTTTTTTTTTTTAAATTTGTATGTAATTTTCTGTTTATCAATTTAACTACTTTTGAAGTTCAACTCGGCATAATCTAATTTTGAAACAAATGGCAACTGAGGGTTTAATTTTTGTGTGTGTGTGTAATTTATTTGGATTTTATGCAGGTTTTGAAATATTTGTGTAATGACCAGATTCTGTGTAATGTGTTTGGATTTTGTGTAGGTTTAAATGTAATCTAATTTCGAAGAATAAAGCTACCTGTTAATGGTTTGAGGTCTCTAAGAAAAGATTTCTGCACTCTTTATTGCTGAAAGGAAAAAAAAAAAATTAGGTTTCCTCGCTTAGTGAGGGTGCGCATCGCTGTCCATCATATCAAGCTCATGTGGCCATCTTGATTTAGATCCTCCTAAACATTAATTTTAGACAATGTCCTCAATGAAGTGCTTTTGGGCCTAGTCAGTCTGTTACTAAACATTAATTTAAATCATGGCTTTGATTTATCTAACAAATCTTTTAACAAACATAACAGCTTTGTTGATTGTATTAATCTGACCTATTAGTGTTTGATATCATTTAAAACTATATTTAATTGCTAGGACAGGTTGCTAAAGAATCAATTTGTACGAAAGACGATGATAATTAAAAATAATAATAAAATAGGCTATGTCAAAAATTATCAGATGGAATATAGAGAAACCTTAAAAAAGAATTTGTACAGCATTTGCTCAATTGGTTAATTGTAGTGATTCTTACTGGCTAATCGGCTACTCCTTTCTTTTGGTTATTTTTAAATATTGTTTGGTATCTGCTTTGCGAGAGGTTATGAGATCTGAGTTGGTGTTGAACTGATTTCATTGTCCTGGGCCCTTTTGCTGCATAAGGAAAAGGTTCAATTCCGGGACACGTGTTGCGATCAACAATGATTGTTCATCCCACAGCAATTCTTGGATTTTTTTTTTATTTACATGTCATTGTTGTTCATCCCACAACAATGACATGTAAATTTGCATCTTGTTTCGTTTGCGTGATCTAACTTTCATGGCCTTTGTAGTTGTGCTTAAATCACTTTTGATTGTTGTAGCAACTCTGAACAAATCTACTCTTTCCTGAAAATGTATATCATTATAAATGTGGTGTTCTATGTCTAAATTTTACAAGGCAATTCATAATGTAAACTGTATTAGTCAATGAAAGATCAATTATCCCAACATTGAATGAACTAATTTGTTCTATATTCTGATGTCATTAGACAGCCAAATAGTGATGGAAGAAGTGGAATTATCAACATGATTGCTGTTAAGGTTCGATTTTTCAATCGATTTTTCATTCTTGAATAATAGTTAAATGAGACCATGTATATATAATTCATAGTGACTTGGTATGATTGTTTAAGGCAGACCATTGATGGACAAGAATCTATTATATGCATCGGGGTTCTCACCGTCCTCTTACCTAGGATCTCCTCCAAACAGAACCAGAGAACCTGTTGGTTCACGACGTGCAATTCAATCATCAGATTGAGCTTTTTTCACCTTAAAACGGACAGAACTGGCCAATAAATTCGCATTTGCCTCTTCCTCTCCTATATGAGCCCCCGACAAAAGGAAGAAGAATGAGATTGTCCTCAAAATGATTTTTTTTTGCTTCTAAAACTATCATGTTGAGTTTTTTTGGTTACCAAGTGATTAGTATATATGTGATTCTTTGTGGTGGTGGGTTTTTCTTGTATGTATCACGAGTTAAATGGACTGGGATGTATTTTGTAAATATTTTTCTGATGATATTTTCATGCTCTTGAACTTCTGATTTATATTAGAGAAGAGGCTGTCTTGTGCTACATGAATAGTCCTACCCACCTTTATTTTCTTGAGTATTTTGGGTTCATAAGATTGGTTTATATCAGGGTTGGTCGCGTATCGATCGGTTTGTAAGGGTCCGATGCAGTTTTACACTTTTATGAACTAATCGGTTTACAGCGATATTTATTCGAATCCGTTACACTGCAACAGATACGCGACGTATTGGCCGATTCGGCGGCCGTAACCCTTTATATGCTTCTCCATTCTGATTTATTTCCTTACTTTTTTATTATTTATTTTTATTCTTCAATCAAATTGAATTGGGGCTTCATCAGAATGGCCAGTTCTTTCTTTTTAATATAGGCAATGAAATGAATAAAAGAAAGTTCATTTTAGGTCATACTGATGAGTATGTGTTCCATGGGCAAGTAACGATTATTGCTCCCAAAGTTACAATTTTTTTCTTTTTTCATTCATCAATTGTTTTCATTTTTATTTTTTATTTTTTTGCAACAATTGTTTTCATTATCCAACGTCACTTTAAATTGTTTGTCCATAGTTTATCAAACAAATGGAATATGACGTATGCAAAATTAAATATGAATGCCAATCAATGTCAAACAGTTGAGTCGGAATAGATTGAAATAGAAATGCCAATTAATGTCATAATTGTCATTTATTTGATGAAAAAGATGTTGCAAATTTTTTTTTAGCAAATATTAGTTATGAAACAAATTTATACACTTTCCTTCTTTTTTTTGTTTATTGTGTTGGATTTTTTTAAAATAGTTTAAGATTAACAAACGCTTTTTATTTATTAATTTTAAAAAAAACTAAATATTTTTACATTTATTAGTTATCAAATAATGTATCTGTTTATCTATAATTACTAATTATGTTTAAAGTTTAAAGAAAGCGCAATAAACAAAAATGGTTACCAAACAAATCCTGTGAATTTTAAAATGTGTGGTTAGAGTGCACATATAATCTTTTGTGCGATTATTTATTATTTTAGTCATTTGAAAATAAGATTAGACTTGTAAAAATGTTCCAATGTATACCACTTCATGAACTACGTGTTGACCGGGACAAAGAAACTATATGAATTAACCTTTCTATGAATGACTTAAATGTACAGTATATAAAATGCGCAAGCATCAACTTATAATTATACAAACCAAATGAACTGAAAAGACAACGGATCCTAAGGGAAATAGATGGTCTATTTATCTCATCTTTTAAAAAGAAGGGAAGCAGATTCAATATTAAAGGACTGTTATAACCTAGGATACTTTGGACATTATTCAGTAATTTACTCTAACAAGGGACATTTATCTTCTATTAAATTCGGATAAGAAAGTGATTGGATATAAATAGGTGGCTATACTGCACTACCTAATAATTTGAACTTTTGGGTAAATGGATAAGCGTCCACCCGTTACCGTTAGTATTAGAGCCAGAGCCAGACTCATTCTTTGATCCGGTGTCACGCCAAGGATAGTCCAACTGCAATGAGGGCATTGCGTGGGTTCAAGCGAGGGAGAATATAAGAAGAGTCATTTGTTCCACATCGGATTCGAATGAGAAAATGATTGGGTAATGGGTGAGTATACAACACTATCAAATAGCTTACTTTTGGGTAAATGGACGAGTGCCACCTGTTACACCTACCTAGTAGAGCGTAAAAAATACTTTGCCGCAATTTTGATAGAATTTCATTTCAAAAAGATGACAAAAATGTTTTGTGAACACGTTGAAAAAAATAAGTTCTGAATCAAAAGTTATATCAAAAGTATTTATGAAAATTGTTGGGAAAAAATGTCATTAAGAGTTGTAGAAGTCTCAAAAGGAACATTTATAACAATTTAAGAATATGTAATTTTACAAAAACTTCAATTTGAGGTAAAATTTTAAGGTTTCTTAAGAGCCATAAAAATGATCTAGAAGTAAAATAAACTTTCAAAATATTGGAAAAATGCCAAACTTACACAAACAGATAACTTTTGCAATTTAGTCAAGCCCACACACAATTTAAAGACTTTGTGGAGGTCATAAGTACTTTGCTTTCCAGAATTATTTTGACTTGAAAAGTCGGCTGAAAAATAGATTAAAGCAATTTGATTTTCATAATTTTGAAAATCACAGCTTTTATGAAAAAAATAGTATTGTACTGTTTTGAAACAATGAGGATAGGGTTGATCCAGAAATGCATAATGGGTGGGCTAGTATTACTAAATTTTAATTATTATTATTATTATTATTTTTGGACTGGACTACTTTTTTTTGAAAAAAAAAATAAAAAAACTTTTTGGGGTGAGCTCAAGCCCACCAGAGCCCACCCCTGGATCCGTGTGTGTGTGTGTGTGTGTGTGTGTGTGTTTGAAACAATGTTACAGTGTTTTCAAGGGACGTAAAAACCAAATTTACAAATATGATATTTTCTCCCAAATAACATGGAATCAGCTAGTGCCAAGCAACTACCTAGCTGGAGTATTATTTATAATGATATTAAAGTTTTTTATTCAGTGTATGTCCTCAGTAGAGATTATAGTGGTGTCCTAGGACATATAATTTAGTTGCTAATGGTCTAAGCAAATGGGTTTGTAGATGTATGCAAAGGGAGATGGTTTGGAACATATGTAAGCAAATGGGTTGGTATATGTAAACAAAAGGAGATGGTTTTACAATTATATTATTATAGGTTTAATAATTTTGCCTAATTCTTCGGTACAAATATCATTATTCTTAGAATTTATGGGGTATACACACTATCTTGAAATCATAGGGGTGTTTTGTGCACTTTATCCTAAAAACTGATAATATTATTTGATTACAAAATTATATAGATAGATAGATATATATGGATATAGATATAGATATATATTAGTAAAAACCATGCGTGATTAAAAGTTATTTTATAATTTTAATAAAAAATTATAGAGAATTATCAAAATAAATTTTATTTTTAAATAATTAATTAACAACTTATTTGAGTAATTACAATTTTAAATATTAATGAAATCTAATCTATTGTTTTTTTTTTTTTTTTTTTTTTTTTTTTTTTTTTTTTTTTTTTTTTTACATATTCATGAATCATGAGTAAATAAAGAATTTCTACTAAATAATTAACATTTAAAATAAAAATAAATAAACACTCCACAAACAATTCAAATAGTCAAGTAAATAAAAATAAAATAAACACTAAATACTTAACATTTAAATGACAAACAAATAAAACCCTAAAATAAATGCACAAACAATTTAAATAGCCTCGTGCATAGTAATTACACCTCCTATCATCCACAAAGTACTGAAGGCATAACTTATGAATCAGCAGTGCATCGATATAGTTACAGAGTTAGCTTCCGGTGATGTCCTATTTTACTCTGTTGGGGCAGATGGAGGCTTGATGTACAAAAGACGCCTAGTAGTACCTTCTGCTGATGATTTGAGGAAAGATGTGATGACGGAGGTTCACAAATTTGAGTTCTCTATCTATCCAGGTGGAGATAAAATGTACCAAGACATAAAGCAACAATTTTAATGGACAAGTATAAAGATGGACATAGCCATCTTTGTCTCTAAGTGTAGTACCTGTCAGATGGTCAAGAATGATCATCAGAAACCGCCTGGTTCCTTACTACCACTGCCTATACCAGAGTGAAAATGGGAGAGAATCTCTATGGATTTTGTGGAGGGATTACCTAATTCCAACAGGAATCACAATTCTATTTGGGTCATTGTTGATAGGTTGACCAAATCAACTCATTTCTTGCCTATTCGCACTGATTTCACTTCAGAATAATTGGCGAGGCTTTACATTACGGAGATTGTAAAGCTGTGTGGCATACCGATGTCTATTATATCAGACAGGGATTTGAGTTTTGTATAGGGATTTTAGGAGAGTTTTCAGCAAGCTTTAGGTACCAAATTACATCTTAGCACTGCTTATCATCCTCGGACTGATGGGCAGACCGAGAGGGTTAATAAGATCATAGAGGATATGTTTCATGCCTGTGTCTTTGATTTTAAGGGCAACTATGAGGATTATTTGCCACTTGTAGAATTTTCCTACAACAATAGCTTCCAGAAGACTATTAGTATGGCACCGTTTAAGGCATTGTACGGCCGACCATGTCGATCTCCTATTTGTTGGTTAGAGGTCGGTGAGAGCAAATTTTTTGGTCCTGAATTTATCAAGGAAACCACTGAGAATATTGCTTTTATTCGTGACCGCATGCGTACTGCCCAGAGTAGGCATAAGAGTTATGCAGATCGTCGTACTCGTAGTTTAGAGTTTCAGGTGGGGGATCAAGTGTTGCTCAAAGTGTCTCCCATGAAAGGCGTAATGCGCTTTGGGAAGAAGGGGAAGTTGTCACCATGCTTTGTCAGTCATTTTATGATTACGGATCGAGTTAAAGCTGTAGCCTATCGGTTGACAC